CCCACACACACACACACACACACACACACACACACACACACACACACTATTTATACTTTTTGACTAATTCTCTCTAAAGAAATGGACAAATCATTACAAAATTTAATGTACAAATGTTTCACTGTGGTATTGATTATATGTATAATCAACAAATGTCCCAAGGTGGGAGCCTGGTTCACCAATCAGTCCATAGAATACTGGCTCTTTATGTGTAGTAGATGAAGCTAGAAAAATGTAAGATAGATATCAAGGGGGGGTTCTGTGGAGTCCAACAGGCTCCAGTGATGTAAACATGAATCAGATGTAATGTCTTCACAGATAACTGCTTTTGGCTTCTTTTTTATTCATCTAGAATGCAGGTGCAGGAGAGCAATTACAGTTCTCGGAGGCATCGGACATGTCTCTAACTGGAAGGCTGAAGTACCTGGAAAGGCTGATCCAAAGTTCAAGGGAAGAGGAAGTTGCCTCTGAGCTCCATCTTTCTGCACTGCTGGACATGGTGGACATTTAACAATCGGAAACAAGAAGTGTTGTTTTCTTCATATCATTTGTTTTTATTCAAATTATGTTATGCTCAGATGCTTCATGTCCTGTTGGAAATGAGATTATTAATTATGCAAATAAACCATTTGAATCATCTGAGGTCCTTCTTAGTTTTTGAATGAAAGGCTGTGTGATGTCTTTAATAGTATTTGGTTTTTTTTTAATCTTATTAGACTGTCACTCCCCAGGAAATACTCTAAGGAAGTTTTTATAACTTTCTGGTTTTCTATACAAACACATTTTGAGAATTTCATGTATAAGTATACTGTATTTACATCATTTCTACTCCTCCCCCCTGCACACTCTGGAATTCATGACCTATTCTACTATAATTGTTTTATACACACACACACACACACACACACACACACGCATAGTGTCTCTTCAAAGCAATAGAACCCCTAACTAAGATACATACATACATACATACATACATACATACATCTTGGAAGATGTGTATAGGTACACATAATGTAGGCAGATTGTTTTTTGAGAGTGTAGTATACATGAGGGCATGATGAAAGTCTAGAGGAACTAGTTGGAACAGGGCAGCAGGCTCAAACTATATTCAGAGGGCCATGAGACTCAGTTGTGGAAGAATATTAGGCAGAAGTGACCTGCTCTTATTTACTCTTAAAAATAGCATATGGAAGCCAGCAGTGGTGGGGCACACCTTTAATCCCAGCACTCAGGAGGCAAAGGCAGGTGGATCTCAAAGTTCAAGGCTAGCCTGGTTTACAGAGCAAGTTCCCAGAACAGCTGTTACACAGAGAAACCCTGTCTCAAAAAAACCAAAACATGTAGAAAAGGTTGAAGAGATGGTAGTTAAGAACACTTGTGAGAGAAGAAGGAAAAAAAAAAAAAAGGAACAGTTGTTCTTGCAGAAGACCTGGTTTTGGTTTCCAGCACCCAACCATCTGGAACTCCAGTTCCAGGAGATCTGACACCCTCTGTTGACCTCTGCAGGCACCATGCATGTGGTGCACTACATAAATGCAAAACATCCATTCACATAAAATGGCATTTTCAAGGAAGGAAAGGAAGTATTAATAAACTTGGTGAAGTTCACCTTTCTTAAATTGTGCACTAGACATTTTCAGATGATCACCCTATAGCTCCCAATATTATACTCAAGAAGAGTACTTAATATCTCTGGTTCTCTTCAAACCTCTGGCACAGATGATGACCCTGCCACCACACCTGGTTCTTGTTTAGTTCACTGAGGAAGAAAGCTCTAAGAAGGAAGCTTTTCTCACCATCATCAAAACCACCAGCAAGTCTCTCTCTTCCCCAAGCACACACTACATCTTTCAGCTTTAAAACTTTTATTGTTGCCCGGTGGTGATGGCGCACGCCTTTAATCCCAGCACTCGGGAGGCAGAGGCACAGATCTCTGTGAGTACAAGGCCAGCCTGGTCTACACAGTGAGTTCTAGGATAGGATCCAAAAGCTACACAGAGAAACTCTGTCTCAAAAAACCAACCAAACAACCAAACAAAAAAAAAAACCCCTAAAACTTGTATGTATTTTAATAACTTTATACTTTGTCTGTACATGTATGGGTAAGTGTGTGCTACAGTGCATGTGTGAAGATCAAGTCCCTCTGACTTCCATACATGTGTGGTATACATCATAGGACAGTTCTCAGGATCAATTCTCCTTCCACCATATGGGATCTGGGAATTGAACTCTGATTATCAGGCTTGGAGGCAAGCACCTTACCCACTGCTGAGCCACCTTGCTGGCACAAATATATCTGTATGTGTGTGCACATGTGTGTGGGCACTTAAGGCCATGAAGGGCTCGGAGAACAACTTTTAGGAGCCAGTTCTCACCTTCCATCCTTGTTGAGGCAGGGGCTCTCATCTGTGGGACTGTACAGTGTATCCTAGGCTAGCTGACCCTTGAGCTACCAGGCAATTCTTTTTTATTTTTATATTTATTTCATTTTATGTCTGTGTATTTTGCCTGCATGTATGCCTGTGTACCATGTGCATGCCTAGTGTCCATAGAGACCAGAGAGGGTGTGGGATCCCCTGGAGCTGGAGTTATATATGGTTGTAAGCTACCACCTGTGGGTTGGGACTCAAATCCAGGTCCTCTGGAAGAGCAGCTAGTGCTCTTAACCTCTCCAGTCCCTTCCAGGAAATTCTCTCATTTCCAATCTCATGATAGGAGTGCCAGGATTACAGATGCGCACCACTGCTTCCTGCCTCACGTGGGGTTGAGGGATCACACACTCAAGCTGTAAGTTTGTGTATCAAGTGCTTTTCCCTGCTGAGCCATCTCATCAAGTTTTCCCCCTCCCCCCGTCAGTGATTCGTTGTTTATCAATAAAGACTTGCTGTTATTTTTTAAATGCTCATTTAATGTGTATGTGTCACTTTTCTATTGCTGTAATAAGGCACCATGACACAGGCAACTTATAAAAAAAATCATTTATTTGGGGCCTTTAGAGGGTTGGAGTCCATGACACCATAGCAGGGAGTGTAGCACAGCAGTAGGCAGGCAGGCATGGCGCTGGAGCGGTAGCTGAGAGTTTACATCTTGATCCACAAGCAGGAGTCAGAGAGAGCTAACTGGGAATGGCCTGGTCTTGGAAACCTCAAAGCTCACCTGCAGTGTTATACCTCCTCCAACAAGGCCACACCTCCTGATCCTTCCCTAACAATCACACCAACAGGGGACCAAGTACTCAAATGCACACCAGGGGAAACTTGCTGTTTTCTCTTTCCAGGTGGGTTCTGAATCAACCTAAGGCTTTTATGGTTGGTGGCAAGCATCCTATCTGTGAGCCATCCTGTAGACTCCTTAATGTTACTCCTTAACTTTAATCATGACATTTTTTCCTACAATAAAAGAAGACCATCATATCTTCCCTATAATATATATCATAATACAGATACCTATATTTGCTTTACTAGTTGCCTCCTTGAACAGTTTAATAATGGCTGAGTTCAAAGTTCAGCATAACTAGATGTTTACCGTTAGCTGCTGGATCTATACTGATTTATGACTTTACTTCATTTTGGTACAATTTTGGCTTTTCCTGTATAGTTTTATTTGCTTGTTTTTCTGTGTTCTTGTCACTACTTCACCCAAAACTCTCACTCCATCTAGCACAGTCTTGTTTGTAAGGTAAAGTTCCACTTCCACTTTCTCTTGAAGATGACCCTCTGGGAACCCTGTCTCTCTGTAATGGCTTGAACATTTCCTGGGTTTTGAGTAATATTCTCTTCTTCCCTAGTTTGTTTTCTCATTTTATGAAACTCATGCTCTAGGAGCTTGCTGAGCTTTTACATCTAAAATGGTTTTATTTCTATCCTTATATTTGATTCAATATTTCAGTGAGAATAACATTTTAGATGGGAAATCATTACCTTGTATTCTTGTTTGTTTTGTTTCTTGAAAAAAAAAAAGGTTTGAAACTTTAAAGTTGTGTGTGTGTGTGTGTGTGTGTGTGTGTGTGTGTGTGTGTGTGTGTTGTGCATAATGTTTGAGGCATGCATGCAACCGAGTGCACATGGAGATCAGTGGACCACTTTGTGTAGCTGGTTCTTTCCTCTACCCAAGCTTGCACATCAAGTACTTGTCACCCACTGAGTCATCTTGCAGGCCCTTTCTTGACATTTTTAAGATCACTTCAGGCGGTGGTGGGTAGACTTGGAGAAGTTGGGGGAATAGTGTGAGGGGTGATTATGATCAAAATACACTGTATACAATTATGAAATTAAAATTTAAAATATTTTATTACACCTTTATCCACGATATTCTCAAATCCTTGCCCTTTATTAGTTTTTTTTTCTAATTTGTACTACTATTAAGCAAATATATTCTAAACATAATAGCTTAAAAATGTGGAATCACCCGAGCAGCTTTTTCTTCACATTCCTCACGGCGTTTAGTCAGGTAGTGGCTGAGGTGCAGCCGCTGATGGTTGTTGGGCTTCATGTGCATACATGGGTAGAGGTGTTCTTGCACTGTTCTTCTGCTCCTGCTGACAAAGGAGCACTGTGTCAGTGAGCAAAGTCTGCCTGCTGACGGTTTTCTCCTAGATCCCAGTTACCAATGCTTGTAGGTCTTTTTTCTTTCTCCTTTTTGTGTATGTATGTGTTCATGCGGTTATATGCATGTGGATATGTGGATACATGTGGGCATCCATATGTGTATGAGGATCAGAGGCGGACATTGGGGCCTTCCTTGATTTTTTTTTTTTTTTTTGAGATAGTGTTTTTCACTGAACCCAGAGCTAGCCAGTTCTTTTAGGCTGGCTGTCTAGTGAGCTCAAGGGTTTTGTTTCTGCCTCTCCAGCATTGGGTTTACAGACTGGTGCCACTCTGCTTGGCTTCTGCGTGCATGCTAGGGATCTAAGCACTTTACTGACTGAGCTATCTCATCAGCTCTTGCCTCCCTCTCTCCCCGGTCCTTCTCTCCGCCCCCCATATTCCCCCCTTCTCTCAGGTGGTCCTGCTATGTAGCTCTGGGTGGTCAAAAGGACAATTCTCCCACCTCAGTCTCTGAAGTGCTGGAAGTACCACCATGCCCAGTTGCCTCAGAGAAATTTTTACTCCTGTCTCAAGCTATCTGTTGGAATGTGAGAGGTAGGACCGGATTTCCCCTACAAGTGTTGACTTCCAACCCCTCTGCTTTTGGTGACACTTAGCTATGCTTCATGCCCAGTTCTTATCTGCTCTTTACTTGGCTGTTCAGGCTGCCACCCTGGCAGGAGAATGAAACTAATAATGTTCCTCCAAGTTTTTCACCTCGCCTCCCAGTTTCTGTACTTCCAGGCTTCATTGGCAAGAACTGTCATTTTCTTGTTGGCTTTACCTATGTATATGGTTTGCTGAATCCGTCACTCCTCCATCTGTCTCTGGCCTTTATACGTCTTCTCTTTGACTTTATAATCTTTTCTAAAATCGAGAACTTCATACATGCATATACCGAGTTTGGATTAAACCCACCCCTCATTCGCTCCCCTCCAGCTCCTTGCCTGTCTCGCCTGTCCCTTTCCACTTTTGTTGTGGGTTTTTATGTCTTTGTCTTTTGACGAGGATGTGGATAGGAAATAGAGGTCAACATCTACGTCCAGCCTGGTGTTTTTAACTAGAAATTTCTTTTCCCTGTCATTAGATTTTTCTCTCTGTCTCCTAAGACAGCTCTTCAGTCACTGATTATTTTCCCACAGCCCATCAACAATTCCCATCATATTCATTTTATAATCCCTTCAGAACTTCAATACAATCAGGTGTTCACTTGGCTTCCTTGCCTCATTCCCTCAGTTTTCTTCCTCGACAGACTAGAAAAGATCGGTACCTCAGGGTTCTCCCTAGGGCATCTATAGTGGGTTTCTAGTTGATCCCATCTCACGATTCCAAGTGCCACCTGATCAGATTCCTCTCTCTAGAGTAGTTCTCTTTTCAATGACAGTCTACAGAACACTTGTTCTCCCAAGTTCACTAAATAAGGCTCTCTCCACTTGGATGGCTAATATTTGTCATACTATATCCCCAGTGTAAAAGTTGATATTTCCAAACACACCTTACCTATTTTCGTATACGACACTGGCTCCTCTGATCTTTCTTACTTCTACACACAGTTAAGGCCCTTTCCCTTGGCCTATCTTGAAATCCTTGGGCTCCAGGATCTTTGTCAGCCACCAAGCTCTCCCAGACTGGCCTCAAACTCATAGAGATCCGCCTGCTTCTGCCTCCCAAGTGCTGGGATTAAAGGCATGGGCCACCACTGCCTGGTGCATTTTGAGTTTTTAAAGATTTATCTTATGTGTACGAGTATTTTGCTGGCATATAAAGTATGTGCATCACCTACATGCCTGGTGCCTAAGGAAGTCAGAAGAGGGCATCAGATTCCTTGTAACTGGAGTTATAGATGGTTGTGAGCCACCAGGTGGGTGCTAGAAATCAATTCCAGGTTTTCTTCAAAAGCATCAAGTACTCTTAACCACTGGACCAGCCCCAAACCAACTGCCTGTGGCAGTTGTCATGATGCCTACTCATCATGTATCTTTAGAAGTTTCTAAGCTGGGCTAGGAAGACGTTAGTGTTCATGACTAGCCATCTAAAAACGATAAGATTCCATGGAGGGAAGGTGTGTGGGTGTTCTCTGCCTCCAACTTCCTCCTCTGACTTGTGGGTCATGGGCCCTTCAAGTTTCACCGGGGTAGCGTGTTGAGGGCTAGGTGCATGAGGCTATCTGGTTTGGGTAGTTGTAACAAGGTCTGCACTCTGCAGGATAGATGAAGCTCAGACATAATGCGCCGCTGTGGGTTCTTGGAACTCTATCTTTAGTAGCACTCTGGTTGTCCCTGCATGCCAGCAATGCTCCTCCAGTCTTCTCCATATCTCCATTGTTCCTCATAGTTTCTGCCTGTACACCACAGGCTTCCCTCCCTACTTTCAAACATAATCAAGGCCTTTCCCCCTTTAACTAGTGGGACTCCCAACCCCCGGTATCCTGAGACTAGTTGTGTGGCTAGGTAGGTAGGTGGAGCTCCACCCGCTGTTGGCAGTCAGGAAGTCCGAGTTGCCTTGCCAGCCTTGACCACGCCCTTCAGCGAGTCCCTATCAGAAGCCTGTGCCTCGTTCCCAAGAACACCGCCCTGGCCCTCTTCCCAACCACGTCATTGTAGCTTCCTCCTCTCCTCCCCGGAGTCAAACCCCCGCCCCATGGTGGTCCCATCCTCTGTCGTGGCGCCTTGGCTTCCTGCGTGGCTCCTGTTGATCACCGAGCAACTCTCGTTTCGGCTCTCACCTCAGGCCAGTCTAGCCTCCTCGGTGCTTCTCCGGCAGCACCCGTGGCGTCCGCGGCCTCTTTCCTGCAGATGTTTGGAGGGGCCGTTCTTCACCAACCCTGGAGACATCTCACCTAGAACATCCAGAGCAAGAAGCCCAAGGCCACGCCCCTCCCGCAGGCCCCGCCCCCACGCTCTGTCCCGCCCCCGCAGGCCCCGCCTCCCGGGAGCCTTGCGGTGTCGGGCGGCGTGCGCCCAGCCACTGCGGTTGCGGTGCGACTGCCGTGCGACTCCCCTCGTGGATGCTCTGATTGGCCGCGCCAGCATCGGCCCACCCAGCTGTTCCGGTCGGCCGAGGCTGGCGCCTGCGCAGTGCGCTAAGCTGTCAGTCAAGGAAGGCGCTCGCGAGCCGGGCGGCGGAGAGTGCGTGCGGTGGTGCTGTCATGACTGAGGGCACGTGAGTCCCGGACCCTGGGCCTCCCGCGGGTGCTGCTGCGAGGGACGCGGCAGGGCGGTGGCAGGGAAGGGGCCCGGGGCAGCAGGGTGGCAGGGCGGGTGCTCCTGCACGCCCGGGATGCAGGCAGCCCCACCTTACTGTCGTCGTCGCTTGGTCGGCTCAGGTGTCTGCGGCGTCGAGGGGGACCCTACAAAACCGAGCCGGCCACGGACCTCACCCGCTGGCGGCTCCGCAATGAGCTGGGTCGGCAGACGTGGACGTATTTCCAAGCGGAGGACGACCCTGGTCGAGAGCAGACCGGGTTAGAAGCCCACTCTTTGGGACTGGACACAGTTAAGTGATGGGATGGATTCCCCGGGTACCGTTGCACCCCGTGCCTGGAGGTGACCACGGTCCAGCCTCTGCCCTGCCTTTCCCGAGCCAGAGCCCTGAAACCGTAGAGGGCCTTGTTCAAAAAGCGGGCATCTCGCCAGGAAACAAATGTGCACGCGAGTGTGGTGCAACACAAAGAAAAGCTAAGTATACGGGGATGAGGAAGGACCGAGTGCAGATAGTGGGTGTGAGTTATGGAAGAAGGTGAAAAGCCAGCTGTTTTTCTAGTTCTGATCCTGTCATGGGGTTTTTGTTTGGGGTGGTGGATTAATGCACACAATGCACTGGTACTGAAGTATAGAATTTAAGGTTAAGCTTCCCAGCTTCCTTTTCAAATGCCAAGTCCATTAGAATAGGCTTTGTGTCTGGTTAATTTTGGTGTGTGATGTTTTTATTTATTTGCAAGCTTATACTTTTTTATATAATAAATAAAGCTTATGTTTAAAAAAATAATAAAGCTTATAATTTTTTTAAAAAGAGGCATGAACCTGGACATGGGGCATCTCTGTAATTCCAGCCACTCAGGAGGCTGTGGCAGGATCTAAGTTTGAGATATGCCCTGGCAACTTAGTTGACCTTGTCAAAAAAAAAAAAAAAAAGCCAAAAAGCTGGGTGCGGAGGTGCAGGCCTTTAATCCCAGCGCTCAGGAGGCAGAGGCAGGTAGGTCTCTGAGTTGGAGGCCAGCCTGGTTTTCCACAGCAAGTCCTAGACCAGACCTGGCTACGTAGTGAGACCCTATCTCAAAACAACAACAAACGAGCAAAGAAAAAAAAAAAAAAAAAAAAAGAGGTGAGCAGCTCAGTGGTTGACTGTTTACCTAAGTCCAATCTCCAAAGCTGAAAACAACAACAACAACAACAAGAAGTATGGTGACGAGGGGGCCATGCCTCCTTCCAGAGACATGAATTACAGCAGCCCTGGTTGGTGCATCAGTCCCTTCATCCAAGAGACCCGTGGACGAAGTTGCACCAATTTACTTTTATTTGAGTACTCTGCTTTGACAAAATCTTTGATTTGTAAGGGAATTACAAGGCTGGGTGTGGTTTTGTTTGTATTCATAAGGTGGAGTACTTTGATCTGATGTTCTGGTTGTGTGCATCCGTGCACCCATATCCGAATGAAGTTCAGCTAGTCATCGACTAGTTAGCTAACAGGCTTCCTGTGAGTCCTGTCAGCAAACCTTCTCTGGGGATCCTCTATGCTATTATGTGGGCCCTGTCTGAGAAAGGGAGAAAGTCCACCATCCCCTACCAGTATCAGTTGGGCATCAGTGACCTGCCCTATGTTAATGTGTTTTGAAGCTTTGAAGAAATTTGCAGATCAGTGGCTGGAAAGTAAATTATGACAACACGGAATTGCTTTTTTTTTAAACTTTTCTGGGGTGATGTTGTCATCAAAGACTCATTTCAGATCGAAACAGTTCAAAATTTTAAAGTAAATTAGATTCGATATTTTTACTTGGATTGTGAGTGAGGAGGGTTCCAGGCAACCTCAACTCTCATTTTTTTCTTTCCCTTTGCAGAAGAATTATTTCAAAGACTTACCTAAAGCTCAAACAGCCCATGAGGGGGCCCTGAATGGAGTAACATTTTATGCCAAGCTGCAAGCTGAGGATGGACACTGGGCGGGTGATTATGGTGGTCCACTCTTCCTCTTACCAGGTAGGAGCATGCCACCCAAACTCAAGGGGGAGGCTGTTCCGGATTGTTAGAGGGTGGGATGGGGGGTTGACCTACCCTGGTCAAGCAGGCTGGAACCCAGCAGTGCACTGGAAAAGCTCTGGGGGAAGGTGGCCTTGTATTCCAGTCATTCTGCTGCCAGGGTTAGGGAATGATGTTAGCCCAGGGTAAACTGGTAAACACTCTAATAATGGAAGCCAAAGGTTCTCTAGGGGAGGGGGGTGGGTGCTCTTGAATCCCAGTGCAAGATGGCACTCTGGGTTTGGCCCAGCCAGTGCCAGGGTACTGTAGATAGGCCAGGTTGTAGGTGAGAAGCTGGTATCCTTACGGGTGCAGTTTGAGCATTATAATATCTCTTGAGAACTTGCTGTCAAAGGGTGCCTGGGGGGTTCTGGCAGGGAAACCACAGGTCCAGGTTGGTGAGTGGTAATAGGATTGCATTTGAACACACTGGTCTCTGATCTAGTTTGGATGTGTAAGACTTTTTTGCATCCTGGTAATGTTTCTCTAAAGAAGCTCGTATTCATGAATCAAGACCTTTTCCTCCTTGAGTTTTAACTCTTATCTCTCAGTAGCCTGAATTCTTATGAAAATACAGGTTTGCTTCTGTAGTAGCTGCCATATGATACCCTTCCTATGCCTTGCCGTGGGCGTATGATATGGAACTGCTCTGAGTGATGAAGATAGGAGCTGTATACCCAAAGACCAGGCTTGGAACAAAGGTTTCTTGTCTCATGTCATCTCTCCCCATATACAGTAGCACATGCGTGTAAAGAGTTTATAAAGAGAACAGTAAAATCTAAGCAATATATTATCTTGTCCAGGGTTGCCATTTTAGTATTTCAATCCTAGGCAGGTGTTAAAGCTAGACCTGGTCGTCCCCTGTGGTCCCATTGATCTTGAACTGCCTCTTCTTAGGCCTTCAGGGCACTCGTGGGAGGCCTCTTCAAGGCTCTGCAGTGTTTCTCTGACCCAGAATATGGTATGGGTGCCAGGCATAACCACTTGGGCTCTGCAGCCTTGGCCTGGGAGTGTTCACTGTATTCTTCCTGGTGTTGCCAAAGTCATTAGCAGTGCTGAGCACTCGTTCCTAATGTGGGGCATCCTTCTCACCACCCAGGTCTCCTGATTACATGTCATGTGTCACACATCCCTCTGCCAGCTGGATACAGAGAGGAGATGGTACGGTACCTGCGGTCAGTGCAGCTCCCCGATGGCGGCTGGGGCCTGTGAGTGTGCCCATCTGCACGTTTGTACACGTGTGTGCTTGCATGTGTTGTTACGTAGCTCTTGCTTGGGTTTCCAGGCAGCTGTTGAGAAGTGGGATAACTGGAACCGTGGACCTGGGGTGGGCTGGGAGAAAGCCTGGCAGAAGGAGAACAGGCTGGGACCTATGTGCAGCCTGGTCATGGTTCTGCCTCCAATGCTGTGACTGCGTCTCATGGTTGGGAGCCTCTTGAGACTCACAGGCCAAGTTAAAGCCACAGTATTTTAAAATTGTGGAGGCAGCAGAGATGGCAGCAAGTGTAGGGGGCCCCCACAGACCCATCTCAACCTGCTTTCCTGATGTACACACTCTGGGAGCAGAGGGGTAGGCAGACCCTGCCTAGCTGGTTTTGAAGCGATTGGATGTCTTCTGTTGGGTGGACTAAACTTTGCCTGGGCGTTCCTACAGCATGCTTCCTGTGTTGTCTTGTCGATGGGAGGTATTATAGCAATCTTTTCTTCTAAGCAGGCTTCACTGCCAGGATGGTTTTATTTCGTAGAAATAGTGACAGATGACAAAAGCCCTTTTCCAACCAGTCTCATATTTCCATTAGGCATATTGAGGACAAGTCCTCAGTGTTTGGGACCGCCCTGAACTATGTGGCTCTCAGAATCTTGGGTATTGGGCCTGATGATCCTGACCTTGTACGTGCTCGAAACATTCTTCACAAAAAAGGTAAATCCTGTATGGCGTGTGGGGTTTGTGTCGTACTGACGTAATGAGCTCTTATAAATGGGAATTAGTAAGATGCACCTCTAGGTGAAACACTGGGAAAAATACATGAGTGCATGGAAACTGTTGAGCTGCTTAATAATTAACAATATTAATAATAGTGATTATTCATTTTAATTATTTTAAAAGACTTTTTTTGTTTTTTTGTTTTGTTTTGTTTTTTGAGACTCTGTAGTCCTGGCTATCCTGGAACTCACTCTGTAGACCAGGCTGGCCTTGTACTCAGAGACCCACCTTCCTCTGCCTCCTGAATTAAAGGTGTGTGCCACCACTGCCAGGCTGGAGACTTATTATTTTTATGTATATGAGTGTTTGCCTGCACGTATGTCTGTACACCACATGTATGGTATGCAGTGCCCATGAAGGCTAGAAGAGGGTGTCAGATCTCTAGAATTGTAGTTACAGATACAGACCTTTGCTAGCCACCATGTGGGTTCTGATAACTGAACTCAGATCCTCTGCACTATGTGCTTTTAACCTCTTGGCCAACTCTCCAGCCCTAATTTTATTATTTTTAATTAATTAATTTCTGTGTGTGTTTGTTTTGTGAGGTGTGTGTGTGTGTGTGTGTGTGTGTGTGTTTATGCCACAGTGCACATGTAGAGGTCAGAGGACAACTTTGTAGAGTTGATTCTCTCCTTTCATCTTTGCCTAAGTTCCATGGATCAAACTCAGGCTACCAGGCTTGTGTGGCCAGTTCATTGCCCACTTAGCACAGCTGCAACTTGAGTGTTGTTGTGGTTTTGTTTTTGTTGTCGTTGTTTATTGGGGGACAGAGTCTAATGTAGCCTAGGCTAGCCTTGAACTCACTATGTAGCCAAGACTGGCCTTGAACTCTGGATTTTCCTGCTTTCTCCTGAGTGCTGGGATTACAGGCACGCACTACCATGCCTGATTTATGTAGTGTGGGGGGATTGAACTCAGGGCTTTGTGCCTGCTAGAGAAACACTCTACCAATTAAGTTACATTCTTAGCTCAAAGCAATTTGAACTGGTAAAGGTTTAAAGGCAACATGTTACATACAGTACGTGTGGGACATCCATGAAGTCTGCCCTCTGGAGGCAGCTGAGCTGCAGGCGAGCATCTCCAGTGAGGGCTCTGCTCATCCCCTCCACATGCCATCTCTGGGCCTGGGCACGGTTACTCCTCTCCTGTTCCAGCCCTCTGTGGGCTCTGTGTCTCCCACTACTCTTAGAACGAAGCTTATCTTGCATTGCTATTCTGCAGCTCCTCGTGTGGTCCCGTACCCTGCCTCTCAAAGGCATGCACTCCTGTCTTGCTCTTTGCCCCAAGATCAAGGGCCTCCTTTCATTTTGTCAAAATGGTTTCCTGCCTTGGGGCTCCCATGCAGTATATCCCCTCACCTCACTTTCCACCTTCACCATGCTGTCTTGGAAACTCCTCGTCACACTTACAAATATCTTAAACTTCACTCCTTCAGGATTTCTCTCTGACTTCCCAGGCTAGATGAAGTGTTCCGTATGCCTTATGAATTCTGCAGTCTTCTTTCAAGTGTTTGTCCCTGTTGGGATTCAGTGAGTCATCCTCAATCTCTGATGGTATTATCATGTATGTACTCTCAAAGTAACTCTATTTCCCTGTTGCTGTCTTGTTCTGAGGCCTGCCAAGAGGAGGAATGTGCTTCACCATACTTCAACTAGTAGCTTTCTCGGTCTTTTTAACTTTGACATGCTTGGATTTAGGGCAGAACTCATGCAATGTGTATAAATCAGTGTTGCCATGTGCTGCACAAAAGACTAACTATTGCTTGGTAGGGGCAGGGGTGGCTCTGAATGTGGGGCTGCATGTTAGACTGCCTCAGTCACTTGTGTCAGGCTGTCTGCTGAACGGAAGTCACAGGTGTGCGGCTTGGTCTTGGTTGGAGAAAGAGCAGCCAAACATCGGCCTCTTCCCTCTCTCTCCAGGCCCATGCCACTGTGTGTATCTGGGCCCCTCTCTCCCTGAGCTGCCTTCACAGGTAGCTGCCTTCATGTGCTCATTCTTGCGGATAAGGGCTGTAAACAGCTCTTCTGAGGTTGGATACACCTGTTTCTGGCTGCAGTTTCTACCCAGTGGCTCTGGTGTCCTGTGACATCTCATCTGGGAGTTACAGGACCCATGGCAGGCTGACCCTCAGTTCATGCAAGAAGGGGTACAAGAGATAGCTGCAAGCCAGTATTCACACATAATATTCACACTAATTTTTCCTTTTCTCGTTCCAGGCGGTGCGGTGGCCATCCCCTCCTGGGGGAAGTTCTGGCTGGCCATCCTGAATGTTTATAGCTGGGAAGGACTCAATACCCTATTTCCTGAGATGTGGTATGCCTGCCCTCCCTCCGCCTGTTGTACTGCCTTCTAGTGGATGGATGGGACCTAATGGGGTGGGTTAGCCTCTCACTAGAGGCCCTTCATGTGCTCTACAGATATATAGAAAGGGGATTCTCTTTTAGGTAAGAGCAAGCTGTCAAACCACCCAGCTCTGTGGCAGGCCGTGGGGCCCTCCCTGTGGGGTAATTACAGAAGCCATTGTGTGGCTTGGGCTTTGTGAGGATAGACATCAGTGCATACCTGGCAATTAAAAAACTTGGAGCGTATTTAGGGGTAAAGGAAAGAGCGTCTCCCATCCCTGGATCTCGTTTTCTTAACTGATTTGTGGTGAATGTTTAGGAAGTCCTAGGTAATCATTTTACCAATGAAGACTTCCATGTGCATCTTTAAATTTTGTTTTGTTTTGTTTTTGTTTTCAATATTTACTCAGCAGAATCAATGCCTATTCCTTACTAACTGAAACCTATAGTCAGTGTCTTTATCTTTTTTTTTTAATATCTTTTAAAAGCATTGGCCCCATATGTAATGCATATATAAATTTACCCCCAGATTACACATTCTTGTAGGTAAGCTCTCCAGAACTATCCAGAGTTCAGAAGAGCCTGCCATCCTCCTGAAGACAGAGTTGAGGGTTCCTGTAGTAGATAGCTTTCATATGCAGAAAGATAGGATGTGAGGGGCCACTTGAAAGAGGACAACAGAGTCCTGAAACAAAGACTGAAAGGCTTTGCTCTGCAGCCTGGTTGAGTGGGGATAAGTGGAAGATGTGGCAAATGAACCAGTGAGGGGTGTGGAGAGAGCTGTCCATGTGTGGGGCAGGGTGGGTGTACTGTTACTTGAAGTAAGGAGGTGTACTAGAATTGTGCTGTCATCCAATGGCCCATCATTGGCAGCTCTACTGGCTAGATGCTAGATTTGCCTGGGGAGATGCAGGCAGAGGAAGGCTTTGCCGGGGTAGAGTAGTTTGCTTAAGCTGGGACTGGAGAGGCTTCTGGTCTATGTCCCTACATTGTAGGGCTCCACATACGACTCCACATATGTGGAACACAAGCTCCACAGTCATATGGCATTAGAATGCAGAATGCAAGCATGCATAAACATGGACGGATGCACTCATAGCAGCATGAGTGTCCATGCTTGGGAGGGCCCAAGGCCTCAGGGCTGTTAACATGTAGGCTTATGTCCTCTGTCCTGCTGACACATGCTCTCTTCTAGGTTGTTTCCTGAGTGGGTACCTGCCCACCCCTCCACCCTCTGGTGTCACTGTCGGCAGGTCTACCTGCCCATGAGCTACTGCTACGCCACTAGGCTAAGTGCCTTAGAGGACCCACTGGTTCAGAGCCTCCGCCAGGTAAGCCTTATGATCTCTAGGGACCTTGTAAGGAAATGGCACGTAGTCTCTGGAGCTTAAATGCATCTCGGTACTCTGGGGTCCTGAGGAGTCTCTGCCTTTTCTCCTGTAAACAAATGATAAACTGCTCATGGGGACCTGAAAGGTGTCTGCCATCGTTCAGTGTCCCAGTGGGGCTTGGAGAGTTCACAAGCTGCAGTCTTAGCCTAGGCTTGCAGTTACTGTTCCTGGGAAAGAGCCCTGAGATGGGCTTTGGAACAGGATTTGCACCAGAGTAGGACTTAGGCTCTTCGGGCTGGGACAGCTCCTCAGATTAGCTGTGGTGTAACTGGAGTAACTGGGACTCACGCCCTCTAGTGGTGGTTCGCTGGGTGTCTCCACCCCTGAGAAAGGCTGTGACCCAGAACCCTGAGAATGTACAGCTAGAGACTACTCCTGGTTAGAGCCCATCCGTCTTCCGTGTCTGGGAGGCAAGCCTGCTGCTTCTGCTAGGCACTCAGGTATCCCCCTGCCCTTTAGGAGCTCTATGTGGAGGATTATGCCAGCATCGATTGGCCAGCACAGAGGAACAACGTGTGCCCCGATGAGCTGTACACGCCACACAGCTGGCTGCTGCATGTGGTGTATGGTGGGTGCCTGCTGAGGGTTGGGGGAGCCTGGGTGGCACACAGTTAGTTCATTCATTCTGGCTCACTCTGTCAAAGCAATAAATGGCCTCTGTGCTGCGCCCTGGAGTGGGAGCTGGAAAGACATAACCTTGCTCTGGTCCCCCAGCAAGGACCAGCTACTGTTAGGTGATACCCCCTCACCTAGTGTCACCTAGGTAGGGCAGGGCAGGGTCACGGTGGGAGGTGTGAAGTAGCCCTTCCTAGATGGGAAGGGGGAAGCACAGATGAAGCAGAGTGAGTGGGAGGAGGGATCTCAGGGGAAATGAGAGGCTAGATGCTGGACTGTGCAGGACCCACTCCCATCTGAAGGACTAGGGCACAGCCTATCCAGGAATGCCAGGTGTCACTCCTGTCGCTGAGCATCCATTAATGCCTTCTCCCCTGCAGGGATCCTCAACCTGTATGAGCGTTTCCACAGTACCAGCCTGCGGCAGCGGGCCATCAAAATGCTGTATGAACATATTGCCGCCGATGACCGGTTCACTAAGAGCATCAGCATTGGCCCGGTCAGTGCCCCGACCCCCTAGTGCCTGGAGCAGCTTTGGTGGCAGTGAGGTCTTGTCAGATACCCTAGGAGATGGGCTCTGTAGGTAGGAATGAGGCAGGCTTATTTCCTAGATCCTGGCACATCTCCATTTGGGTCAGTGTATTGGAAGCATGACATATATTCATTTTCTGGGTTCCTGTTCTTCTACCTGGCTCTTGTCTAAGACTCTGAGCATCTCCTGGAAGACTGCTTCCTGAGCTTTCTGGCCGACTGGGTGGGGTGTGTTTTTTCCTCTTACTCCCTCACAGATCCCACCCTAGATAATCCACCTTATACCCCTTCTATAAGGTTTATAGGTGCCTAGGGGTGCAATGAAAACAGCAGGGATCCTCATGTTCCACTTCTGGTCTCTCCCATCTGGCTGGGGAATGCCAGGCCTCTAGTTTCTGATTTTGCTTTGCTTCCTGGGCCTGGCCAACTGTGCATGTGCTTTGCTTTGGGACCTTAAGGAGCACAGGCCTGAGGCTGGCTAGTCAGTGCATACTGGCTTGAGCTAGTAGAGACCCAACAAGGAAGCTGTCCTCACTGATGGGAAACAATCAGGAGGTGGGTTGTAATATTGGTGATGATACTGTGGTGGGTTGCCCATGGGTTCTCTGGATAAACTGAGCTTCTTTCTTCCTCTCTATGGACTCTTGGCCCTTCTTAGTCACACCTTAAGCTGGCCCAGAATCTTGAGTGACATTACCTTCAGTTTGAGTGTAGGGACGTGAATGTATAGAAAACACTTAGGGAGCTCCTATTAGAACAGATGGGACCTGCCCCAGAGTGAATTTGCATGGGTCCTGATGGTCACGTATCCTGCAGATCTCAAAAACCATCAACATGCTTGTTCGTTGGTCAGTGGATGGGCCATCCTCCTCTGCCTTCCAGGAGCACGTCTCTAGGATCCCAGATTACCTTTGGTGAGTGTGACTGGGATGTGGTGCCAAGTGCTGACCATAGACATGCAGCTATAATGCTGGGCCCCTGTGCCTCATCTAGTTAGGGGTACCAGGGTGTCAAACTTCTGAGAAATATTTTACTGAATCAGAAGCACTGCCAATTAGACAATTAGATTGTCTTTGGGAAGTTTTGTTTTTTGTTTTTTTTTTAATCTAGCAGTAGCTATGGGTGATTCCAAGAGGCAGAGGCAGGAAGCCTGGAACAGTCTTAGATTGTTGTGAAGGCCGGTGGAAAAGAGGCTTGTCATCCCTGGACTGTGCCCAAGGTGGGGACTATCACAGAGACCACAGCAGGAAGCCATGTGCTCATAAAGGCCATCCTCTCTCTGGCGGTGTGGTGTGAGATGAGGATAGATAGCAAAGCAGACCTGGCTGTAGAAGCTTCTACTTACCCTGGCACGGGCCAGTGCCCCCTGGGTAAGCCACTGTCTTGGTCCTGCTGGGTGTAGGCCTTGTGCTTGTGAACCCAGCTGTGCAATACTGAAGTCGGCGTGGGGGCGGGGGGTTGTGGACGCTCCCAGCGGAGATCCGTGTGCTCGTGCTTGTGTGTATCTCCTGAGGGACAGCTAGAATTCCAGCTGTCACGTGGTCCCTGACATCGTCTTTTCTTATCCCCGTAGGCTGGGCCTTGATGGCATGAAAATGCAGGTAAGGGCTGGGGAGCTGAGGCTGCTGGCTCTCTTTGTCACCCTCTCTGCTTATTTATTATGACTCAAAAGTGACAGTCAGGCATGGTGGCACTTGCTTGTAGTACTGCCACTCAGTTAAAGCACAAGGACTGAGTTTGGGGCCAGACAGTGCTGTCCAGCAAGACCCTGTTTCTGAATTTAAAAGAGTGGGGGGAGGGGAGAGTTGAGAAACCATCTCCAGTACAGTTCTTGTGGTAAAAGGAGAGAGACAGAACCCCCCTTTAGCCCTCATGTCTGTGGGGCTTTGAGTACCTCCTGGTCTCTGGTTGCTGTATGTTCTCACATGTCCACCTGTAGTCTTTCATCAGGGTGGACGAAACCATGACAGAGCCAGGCTTGGCTCAGACCCTCGCAAAACCTCCATCCTGTTATTGTGATAGAAAAGTGGCCCTGGGTTGTAATGGGCCTCTCTGTGAGGCCGTCTGGAGGCTCCTCTGGCAGGTCTCTGGGGGCTGTGTGTTCTCAGCTCATAGGATAACCCTAGAGATTGCCCTCTGTAGCCACAAGTACAGGAGGAGCCTCCAGGTCAGAGGGGGGTGCCCAGGCCTGAAAACTGATCCTTTCTTTGGTACCTGGTGGTAAAGGAGGGCATATCTGTAGTTTTGCAGAGTAGAGAGGAAGTGGTTTGCTGGGGATAGCACATGATGTATGGCCATCTTTTGCCTAGGTCCTTCTAGGGCTTTGGCCCAAGGGTAGTCAGTGAAAATGCTTGTCTCTGGTCAGGCGTTTTGCTGGGATCTTTGGCCTCCAAGGAGCTATGGGAGAGCTTAGGGTCTGTGATTACCCTGTAGTGTTGAGAGCTGGAGTTTCTGTCAAATATTTAGAGGTTCCTGGACAAAACCCACTGTGGATTTGATCATCCATTTCCTGCACTGAGACCCAAGAGTGTTGTCCAGAAAACCAGGGTTCTGGGTGGGATTTGAAGTAGACCTTCCTTACTCTATCGGGAACACAGTGATGTATCAGCTGGGTCCCTGCCACCTCAGGCATACTTGGAAATGGAGGGGCTTTGTTTCTGCTTGTCCCATGACTGGGGTACCCTGCTGTCATGGGGTGTTGAGGAGCCTTCAAGGGATCACATGGTCCTGGATATGTCTTGAGAAAGAGCTGTTCTGCTGGGGCCTTCTCTGTTACCCACGTCTGCCTGTGAGGTTTAGAATTCTCTCTGACCTTTGTCAGCCGTTACAGTGTACAGTGCTCAGACTCCAGTATAGGGTATTAACCGGGTACTTCTCTGACACCCTCAGATTCTAGGAGTCAGGGGATGGGATTGCTATAACAGCTTGTTCTTTGTGTCCAGGGCACCAATGGGTCACAGATCTGGGACACCTCGTTTGCTATCCAAGCACTGTTGGAGGTATGTGGCTCTGTTTCTCTGTGCAGGCCCCATCTGATCTTCCTGTGTGTGTGAGCCGCACATTCACCCTGAGAACAACGATGCTGCTTTCCATGTCTTCTGTCCCCGGAGCTTCCCATTTGCCTGGTTTCCAGTCCCCTGTTGATATGGAACCTGGACACTAAACTGGAGTAGGGCTTTGGGAAATAAACCTAGGGAGAGAGTGAGCAGGGTGGTACCTGGGCTGGGTGCGCTTGAGGCTCTTAGAACATTAGCTGCTACTTGAGCTAGAGGGAAAGAGTGTTTCTCTGCAGGTGGGAATGAGAGCCATAAAATCCTCAGGGTGTCTTTGGACAGCCCAGGGCTTAGGCCAAGTTGGGCTGCCTAAGGTGAGGCCTGATAGAACAGGTGGAATTTTGGTAACTATCCAGGGTGGTCTCTTCTGTCCATTCCAGTCTTTAGCTGTGCCTCACTGTCTTTCTGTCTGTAAAGCTGAGAACATCAGGAAAACCTAGAAAACTCTAAGGTGTCATTTTCTGAGGGTTGGGGCAGCAAGATGTTGCCAGGACATTGGAGGACCGGCTTAACTCTGCTTTCCTATTGTCTCCTAGGCAGGTGCACACCACAGACCTGAATTTCTACCCTGCCTGCAGAAGGCTCACGAATTCCTGCGGCTTTCACAGGTGAGGCTTATACCCCTCCGTATCTGTCCTACCCCTCCTCCCCCCAAGCTGGCTTTCTTGGTTGGTTCTGCCCTGTTCTGCCCTGCCTTGCACCATGTTGGTGCACCTAGTCACCCTAAGGTAGCTCTGACTGTGGCCTGTGGTAGCCCATCACCAACAGTGATTTCTGTTCTTCATGCTGAAACATGTGTGCAGAGGGGCAAAGCCAGCCTGGGGCACAGTCAGGAGTTGTGTCCTTGAGCACCACAGCCTGCCCACTTCCTAGCCTTCTTTGAGGTGTCTTGGGCCAGTAGAATCACTTCACCCTAGCCTGTGGCCACCTTCTGAGACTGTGTACAGCCATCTATCCTGCCAGATCAGTGTCTCTCATTCCTGCCTTCTGTATCCACCTATGGCCCCCATCATGCACTGCTTTTTTTAGGCTGGCCTTGCATACCCTGCTTCAAACACAGTGGATGCCTCCAGCCTTGATCCCACTGGCCTCCTCCTGCTTAGAGTCCTCATGACCCTAACTCCCTGTCCTCCGAACCCGCTAGGATGCAGCTTCCTTAGGACCCTCTGTGTAGCTGGTGTCCATGTCTGTCTAAGGCTGTTAGGGAGTGAGTCAGCAGTGTCTCCCACACCAGGCCTGATCCAGGCCCTACACTGAGTGATGGGTCTTTAGCCCGTCTGTATAGGCCCTACCGCACACGCAGAACTGTTTACTTTCTCAATGAACTGAGTCCTGCAGCTCAGGAGTAGTGAGTAGTCCCTGAGCCCACGAAGCTGGGCAGGAGAGTGGATTATTTAGCCCTCTCTGGATGATCTTATTTCCTAGTAGTGATAAGGTGATAGTCTCATGGGTGCCATGCTACACTGACTGAGGCTAGCAGTAGATCCAGCTCCCAGATGGCAGCACAGGGTCCCAGGTGCCAACATGTTTCTGCTCTCCACATATGCTCCTTGCTTCTCTCCAGGTCCCAGACAACCTTCCTGACTATCAGAAGTATTACCGCCAGATGCACAAGGTATGTGTGGGCAACCCACCCAAGCCCAAGCTCAGATCTCTTCCCTCTGAGGAGGGCTTTCTGCTATTTGCTATGCAGATGCCTCACGGTAGGGGCTTCATCACCCTTGAGACAGACTATGCCTCTGTGGCCATGCCTCAGGATAGTTCGGTTATCTAGCGCACAGAGATGCTGAGTACAGAGCTGAACAGTGAGCTGGAGTGTTGAAATCCAGGCAGAGGGTATAGAGGACTCAGAGCCGGCATTAACCTCCTTTGCTGTAAGGGCCTGCTTCCAGGTGCAGGCTGTGAAATGAGACATCGACACAGCTGCTGCCTTCCATAGTGGGGTCCGTAGGGCACCTGTGCTGCTGTTTGGGCCCCAGATCACTTCTTCCTGCTGAGATCCGAGGACCGTCAGGATGGGCATGAAGTCCTAGATAGCCCCTGTGCTGCCGCTCACGTCTATGGAACCGTGCAGGGGAGGAGCACTCTTCCACTCTGTCTCTCTAGGGTGGTTTCTGCTTCAGCACCCTGGACTGTGGCTGGATCGTTGCTGATTGCACAGCCGAGGCTTTGAAGGCTGTGCTACTCCTGCAGAAGCAGTGCCCCTCAATCACTGATCACATCCCCCGCGAGCGGCTCTGTGATGCTGTGGCTGTGGTGAGTATCCTACTTTGTGTTTGCTTCCACTTCTATGGTTTTGTCTTAGCAGACTTAGGTTAGGGTGTAGGAGCATCAGAATCTAAGGCTGTGAACCCTGGGATAGAGCCAGGGTTAGACATTGGCCTGGCATGTGCATAGGGCTCGGTGCTGTAAGAGATGGTGCCCAGCCAGTCCCAGAAGTTGTGTTATATGCTCCCTGGAGCTTCTCTTCCTGACTTTAGAGCTCAAGGAACTTCTCACATCTGTGCTGAGGTTTCTGCAGGTCTCTTTTGGGAGGGCTGGTGGACTTTGCTGGGGATCCAAAGGAAAGTTGGAAATGTCTGTTCACTTTTGTGCAAAGTCCTTTTAGCACCTCTGCTCCTTGTGTATGTTTTACTATGGAGATCTGCATTTTCCTGACATTGGAATATGTCTCCAGATGGTGTGCCATAGCAGCTGCATTGAGCACCTAAGGGCTTTTTATCCCTCGTCCCTGTCCTGTTGGTTGTCAGTCCTGTGGTGCTTTGGGAAGGCCATACTATAAGTTGTGTGCTCGGTTCTCAGGTCATTCCCCCCTTGTTACATTCCCCTCTAGTTGTTGGAGATGAGGAATTCTGATGGAGGATTTGCTACCTACGAGACCAAGCGTGGGGGGCATTTGCTGGAGTTGCTGAACCCCTCAGAGGTCTTCGGTGAGTGGTTGACTAGCAGCTTGGTGTATAGGCCAGGCCTGGCATGCTGGCAGGTCCATGCAGAGCCCTCTGTGAGCCTCAGAGTATGGAGTACCTGATGTATTATGAATCTTGATGATCTTGATGAATGGCTGTGGTTCTGTCTCAGGCCGTGGAGACTGTAAGCTGGGTTTACACTCTCCTGCTTATTTTCAGGGCCTTGTGCTCTGCAGAGGCTGCCATGTGCCTTGTATACACTCAGTGACTCCCAGCCCTTGTAAGGACCTGTGTCCAGGGCTGCTGGGCCATGACTGTGCGTTGTCACTGAGGTTCTAGTCTGTCCGGTCAGGTTCTTTCCTCACTGGTTCTGGCACCTGCTCTCCCCTTCCTTCATGGCTTCTAATTATCCTATTCCTTGACCTGTCAAACATGTTTCTTTTGGTGATGGTGGCAGTAGTAGCCCGGCTGTTTTGTGTGTGTCTTGTAGCATAGGTGTGTAGTCCCACTCTGCCCACCGTAGCCACATTGCCCAGGTTGATTGTAGATGTAACCAATCGTCTTATTAAAATAAGAAACACAGAGCCAATGTAAAAGAGAAAGCCGAGAG